AATCATGCTTGTCGTCTGCCATCACCAGTGGTTCACACCAGACGAAGAGAGTCAAGCAATAAACAGCTCGTGAAACTGTGTAAAACGCGGACAACTGACAAAGAAGCGAAACACTGGCAGGCAAGTACACCTCATAAAGTCACCGAACAATGAAACAGTACAATAAGTAGAAAAGTGAAACGAAACCGAAACGAATCGAACCTTGGTGCACGGCCACGTTGCACTTGTCGCCGTCACAGTAGACGATCGGATTCTCGACGAAGCCTGTATCTTCGGCGCAAACGCAACATCCACCGACCATCTCACGCATCGCCGCCGTCGTCAGCCGTCCTCCATCCGTTGATCGTCGTCGTTGCCGAGTGTCGAACGCCGTCGGCACAGCCTCCGCAGTCACTACCTCCTCCGGCGAGCATCGCTTATCCAGGAAACTTACGTTTCGGCGGTTGTCTTGAAGAAATCCCTCTTTTCTCTTCGCTATGTTCTCCTCCGTTTGTTCGTCAATTAAATGGATGCGATTCCAAACGTATCCGACGTCTAATCGCAGTTCTCCTTGTGCTGTTCGCTAATTTTCCGTGGCCCCGCTACAAGAACCGATGCAATCGCGACTGTCATAAGCAGCACCGATTCGCAGGTATTGTATAACTGAATTCTTTGTACAGTATGCCGACAACGCGGACTCAGCCGCGGTTTCGTTGGTTCGCTGCGGTCCGGCTTTTTTGTCATATTTTATACGATAGACGACTGGAAGGTGAATGATTCGATCCACCGGACGAAGGTCGTCGAAGACGCAATCGTTGGTCGATCCAGCCATCGCGTCACCAGGTTGAGCCTTCGCGTGAGTAGGTTTTTCGTTTACGTCGCCCTTCGTCTCACGCGCATTCGTTATTATTTGTGCAACGTTATGCGACTCCGTTCGGTTTCTTAGCAATTTCAAAATGAAAAAATTAAAATTTTTCGAAAACAAAATAAAATTTGAGCAATATTGGAATTTTTCATCGGTTATAAACTGGAATTTGCCGGTTTCTTGGATTAGACGTAAGAACTCATGGCCGGTTTCCGCAAATTTTCATTGCGAAAGTTTCGTTTCGTCTCTAACCATGTCTCGCATTGAACAGCGTCTAAAGTTATGTGCTGAAATGCGCAGTGATCGACTGTCGCCGATTCTACATGCACGCATGTTACTTGTTGCATCCGGTGATTGTGATAGCCATTTTTCGCGCATTAGTGATTGTACGCCGGTTAAATTGCGCCATTAAATCAATGAAGAGAACGGAGGCAAAACAACTCCACGTTTATCGCCTCCGTCAGTCGACCGGTTTCGGGCTTCGCGGCTTGTAACACAGTGAGTCCTTGTAACGAGGTAAAATGTACCAAGCTTTATGAAGAGGGTCATCACTTTATTTATCGTTATTTGAGGCTGATTTTGATTGACGCATGAGTGGTGTCTGGCGAACAAAAACCGGTCGTTTCGAAACCGTTGTTTCTAGCCACTTCCAGTCCTCGGCTATAGCATCCCCATGTTAATGTTCAAAAATTGAACGGTCGTTTCGTACGTAGATTGTCATCGATATGTGCATGAAATTTCAAACGGACTGTTACACGACGTGAAGCAAGAAGATTTTAATATGAAAAGAGTTGTATATAATATATCCCGAATGTTTTCAATAGCACTTCACTGGTCTTTTTGCTGAGTAGCTGTTCTTGGCCGCGCGTACGTGCTGTGTAAGTAGCGATGCTTGTCACGGCTTCGTCGTTGCCATACTGTTCCAGCTAGAAATTACCATGATTTTTAAGGACACGACTTTACTGAATTAAACCTCTTCGAAGTTGTTATACAAAAGTGTATTGATCTTCAGGCGTATCTGGCATTTGTGTAAAGAGATTTTTGTCAAGTGGTTGCTCAGATCGTATATTTACGCGATCATTTTTGCGTTATTTCCGCTCTCTTGAAAAAACTTTTTAGTCCATACTTTTCATGATGCTTTTTGCAGTTGTTGACGAAGGAACTCGGGCAGTACGTTTTCTCTATGTCATGCTATTCTGATTACATCTGTCTTTAAGTCTGTTGTTTGAGGACGACGACAAAAGGGTGAGAAGTCGATTTCGAGGTTTTGTAGTGCCAGTACCGCTACTTCTCTCCTGATGGAAGGAATTTATCCCACGTTGCTTCGCTGCAACGAGCTGAAAAACTGGTGCTAGGGTCGTTGATTCAGCCAATAACGAGATCAGCATTGATGACTGCTATAATTCATTCATATCAGTATGGGCGAGACGTACTGCCATGCTGTCATTAACATTTTAGGACTACAGTTCGTCTCGATCCAGCTCATAACTGACTATCCAGTGTCTCATTATCATAAGTTGCAAACAGCACAGTACTTAGTTTATCGAATCGTGGCAGCATGATTGAACATTGTTCATCGAATCTGATTTTCTTTTTACATTATCTGACTATCATTCAGTAAGTCGCCTGTGTCACTTGTGTCCATAATGTTATTTGTGATTTTTGCTTGTTTTTATTCCCCTTGTTTGTGTTTTTTCGTTTATCAATGTAGGATTCCTTGTTGTTCTTGTCAAGCTATAATCTTTTGATTTCAGGGGCAACTGAAAACGTAGCTTAAAGTACTAATCTGATTTCAAAAAGGTCTGACGTCGTAGGAAAAGGTGAAAAACGATCGAAAATTTTTTAATTACGTTTGCACATGATACAGATTCCTGTTTGGATGATATCAGATATCGCTGAAGCTTCCAGCCTTTATCATCACATAAGTCGAGAAACTCTATGACTCGTTCATTTTTTAGAAGTCAGAAATAAGTTTCATTACGTGTCTGATGATGGCTGGAGACTCCAGCCGAAATTTAATCCCATCCGAATAAAACTTTTCATGTGTATTTATCTGTTTTAAGTAAACGATTTTCATTGTTGTACTGTACGAATATTTGTCATTTGTCATACCGGGCACGTTGCCATATACTAGCTTGCACAGGTGCTGTAGAATAGAGGTCGCTTTATGCGTCCAATAGCTGCATACCTACTGCTGTGTACTAAAGATTTGCTACGACTACTCGTGTTTGGTCAGCTTTCACCCAAGTGAATTGGCTTGAATCGAAATGAAACGATCGAGGGCGTTCACGCGTTCATTGAAACGCATTTTAACAAATGATCCGATGTTACTGTCGGTTGTTAACGTCGTTCTATTTCGTTTCTTGCCATATATTGTGAATAGAAATGAAACAACTCAGAGCAACTGTCGTCAGACATAATGAATCGATGATCCCTTTGAG